CAAATTGGACGGTTTATAAGAACAGAAAAAAATTTTTTTTTCACACTTCTGGAGGCTAGGAGTCTGAAATCAGTGTTGGCTGTGTTGATTCATTTTGAGGGCTCTCAGGGAGGATCTGTTCCATGCTTCTCTCTTAGTTTCTAGTGGCTCCGGGCAATCCTTGGTTTATAGCTCTGCCTCCCACAGTATCTGCCTGTCTTCACATGACCACCTTCCCTGTGTCTCCTCCTCTTTTATAAAGACACCAGTCACAATGGATTAGGACCTGTCCTACGCCAGTATGACCTCATGTTAACTGATAATATCGTAAAAGATTCTATTTCCAAACAAGGTCATATTCACAGGTACCAGGGGTTGGAACTACATACAACAAATCTTACTGGGGTACACAATTTAATCCAAAACAAAGGCCAAAGACAGAAACTTGGGAATGCCTGCAGTGCTTATCACCACAATCAGAATGACCTGGAAGCTTTAAAAATGTACACACACCTAGTAGTCCTCCTTTTATATTCTCGGTGGTTTCTGTATATATATATATATTTTAAAGTTCTAAAGGTAAATATTGAAAACTGATAAGGCTTGGAGAGAAAAAGAACCAAAAAGGATTTGTCATGAACAGTGAAACTATTCAGAAGCATTCAAGAAGCCTATGAAAGGGTGGATTCATGGGTGCAAGACTGGACAATTCGGCCAAATGTTGCAGGATGGCAAGGAGATTGAGGTTCTATTTCAAACAATGAAACAGAGGACTATTAGAAGGCTTTCTAAATGTTGTGGGAATACTAAAAGAAATTAGGTCCGTAAGTATTAGCCTCTTATTTTATAGGCCAAAAGAATAGAGCAGTTCAGAGATATGACAGGAGTGAAGAAAACTTTTAAATGTTAGATTTGCTTGCACACCATCTCTGATGATTTTAGGAGAAAAGAGATGTTTATGAAGTCAACGTATTTTAAAAACAAGAGTATAAAATTACATCTATCAGAAGGTAAGCCTCTGGGATGTAAATCTAAATATATAATTTATATAGAGTTAAGATTTAGACAAATTAAAAAATATTAGGGAATGCTAAAATCTCAACTCAATGTTTATTATCGTGTATGATTTTTCATATTTGATCTGGTATTTTTATCTTTTATTGGTTTTATGACTACTTAGCTACTTCCCTTTAAATATGTACTTTTTATGATTGGGTACAATCTGAAAATACAATATGAAAGTATTCTCATTTTATGCTGAAAATTAATGGAAAAATAAATAGTAACATATATGCATGATAATGTAGTTTAGGAAATGCCTTAACATTTTTATTTAACTTGATCCTGCTAACACTTCTATGGTATATTTAGCCCAGGCATTAGAATTATCATTATGCAGGAGAGAAAATGGAAACACCTAGAAATTAAGTGATTTGCTCAAGGACCTCCAAATTCTGTGTAGCCGTCACAACTCAAACCCAAGTCTTCTGATCCCTTGTAATTTTCCATAGCACATTTTCTCCATTAAGATTCCTATGTCTCAGTTATCATTTCTGACCAGGCTTAGTGGAAATCTATGCCCATCTGTTTTATTGAGACTGTGTCAGCAGTAAGCCCTGGTTTGTAGAGAAATGGGGGAAGAGGGTTTAGGTATTTCATCCAAACAAAAAGGGTTCAGTTGTTTTGTCCACAAAGTCAACCAAATACACCAAACCCATTGCTGTCAATTCCAACTCATGATGACCCGATGTGTTACAGAGTAGAATTGTTCCATAGGTTTTTTTTGGATGTAATCTTTACAGAAGCAGATCGCCTGGTCTTTCTTCTGTGGTGCTGCTGGGTGGGCTTGAACTGCCAACTTTTAGGTTAATCATGGCGCGCAAACCATTTGCGCCACCTAGGGGTCCAAAAGGGCAAAAGGGAGGAAAAAACTTGTCATCAGATTCCATGGCAACAAAAAGCAAACTCTGACCCTCCTTTAAAGGCTGGGGGTTTGAAAGTTAAAAATAAATATGACAGTTTTACTGTTAAGGTTCTCTTGAAAGGATATTATACACTTAATTCTGCTATTTTGCAGAAACAGAAATCTACTTTAAAAGAAGAGAAAGGCATTAAAAAATTATTATTTTTTTTTGGTTTTAATGAAGAGAAGTTTATTTCCTCACCGTTAAAGTAGGCTAAAAGTCCAAATTCAGGGTGTCAGCTCCAGGGGAAGGCTTTCTCTCTCTGTCGGCCTTCTCATCAGTGTTCCCCTGGACTAGGAGCTTCTCAGCGCAGGGACCCCGGTCCAAAGGACGCGGTCTGCTCCTGGCACTGCTTTCTTGATGGTATGAGGTCCCCCTGTCTCACTGCTCACTTCTGTCTTTTATATCTCAAGAGATTGCCTTAGGACACAATCCAGTCTTATAGATCAGGTCCTGCCTTACTAACACAACTGCCACCCATCCTCCCTCATTAACATCATAGAGGCAGGTTTACAACATACAGGAAAATCACACAGTACCCGGAATCATGGCCCAGCCAAACTGATATACACATTATTGGGGGGACATAATTCAAACCATGACATTCCACCCTTTGGCCCCCAAAAAAATCACATCCTTCCAACATGGAAACGTATTCATCTCATCATATCATAGCAAAAGTCTTAACTCCAAGTCCAAAATCCAAAAATTCCTCTTCATCTGTGAAATCTCGAATACAAGTTATCTGCTTCCAAAGGTACAATGGCAGAACAGGCATAAGCTAGACATTTCCATTACAAATGGGAGAAATTGCAGGGAAAGAAGGCATAACAGGCACCAAGCAAGTTAGCAGAACACATTACATTAGCTCTCAAGGCTTTGAAAATAATCTTCTGTTCTCTGAGACAATTTACACAAAGGCCCTGCCCTCCAGACTCTAGGTATTGGCCAGTCTCTGGATTTTGAGTGGAGGCCTCTTGGCCCTGGGCTTCAGCTCCGCCTTCCAGGCCCACTGGGACAGCAACTTTGCTCCCTTGGCTTTAGGGGCACCATTCTCCCAGTCCATCGGAGTGACAACTCCACCCTTAGAAACACCAGAGGCTATGGCTCCACCCTTTGAAACCCCTGAGGTCATGGCCATACCTTCTGAGACCTGAGACCGAGGCAGCTCAGCTTCTTGTGTCCCTTTTCTCTTCAGCTTCTGCTTCCTATGGCCTCTGGGCCCTCTGGCCTCATGCTCGCATCTGCCCTGCTGGGGCAAGTGTTCCAAAGCTCTGTAGCTCCACCGGTGTAAGTGCCCAGAGGCACCCCACTCTGCCAGGAAGCCTCCTGCACACAGGCACTCAGCTCTCTGGCTCCGTGAATCGGCTCCAGTGCCGTCTCGCACTGGTCTCCTGGTTCTGCTGCTGCTGCTTCTCTGCTGCTGCTGCTTCTCTGCTGCTGCTGGTCCGCTGTCACTGCTGCACATCTATCAATTCAGTTTTAAAACCGCTTCCACATTTTAGTTATCTGTTAGAGCAGCACCCCACTCTCTTGGTACCAAATTCTGTCTTAGTCATCTAGTGCTGCCATAACACAAATACCACTAGTGGATGGTTTTAACGAAGAGAAGTTTATTTCCTCACCATCAAAGTAGGCCAAAAGTCCAAATTGAGGGCGTCAGCTCCAGGGGAAGTCTTTCTCTCTCTGTCGGCCTTCTCATTAGTGTTCCCCTGGACTAGGAGCTTCTTGGCGCAGGGACCCCAGTCCAAAGGATGCGCTCTGCTCCTGGCACTGCTTTCTTGATGGTATGAGGTCCCCCTATAATTTTATTTTTGCAACGAATCTCTATGTGACTAAAAAAGGTGTTGTAAGGAGCAAACGTTATACACAGTTATTTAAAAAAAAAAAAAAACATGTTTAAAAGAGGTTTAAAATCAGGTGTGTGGCTTAAAATCAGGAAAGGTGTGCATCAGGGAAGTATTCTTTTGCCATATGTATTCACTCTGTATGCTGAGCAAGTAGTCTGAGAAGCCAGACTATATGAAGAATGCACCATCAGGATTGGAGGAAGAATCATTAACAACCTCCGTTATGCAGATGACACAACTTTGCTTGCTGAAAGTGAAGAGGACTTGAAACACTCACTGATGAAGATCAAAGATGACAGCCTTCAGTATGGATTATACCTCAACATAAAAAAAACAAAAATCCTCACAACTGGACCAATGAGCAACATCATGATAAATGCAGAAAGTATTGAAGTTGTCAAAGATTTCATTTCACTTGGATCCACAATTAATGCCCATGGAAGCAGCAGTCAAGGATCAAATAATGCATTGCATTGGGCAAATCTGCTGCAAAAGGTGTCTTTAAAGTGTTAAAAAGCAAAGATGTCACTTTGAGAACTAAGATGCAAAAGTTGGACAATGAATAAGGAAGACTGAAGAATATTGATGCCTTTGAATTATAGTGTTGGTGCAGAATACTGAATATACTGAATACTGAATATATCATGAACTGCCAGAAGAACGAACAAATGTGTCTCGGAAGAAGTACAACTGGAATGCTCCTTAGAAGCGAGGATGGCAAGACTTTGTCTCATGAAATTTGGACATGTTATTAGGAGGCATCAATCCCTGAAGAAGGATGTCATGCTTGGTAGAGGGTCAGCAAAACAGAGGAAGACCCTTAAGGAGATGGACTGACCCAGTGGCTACAACAATGGGCTCATCCTCATCGATCATGAGGATGGCACAGGACTGGGCAATGTTTTGTTCTGTTGTACATAGGGTCAATATGAGTTGGAACCGACTTGACAGCACCTAACGATGTTTAAAAGATGGATTTCTCTACACATATAGAGAAATTAAATTTGCTTTTATGAATGGTTGATGTGTTGTTTGTTGTCTTTGAGTTGATTCTGACTTATGGTGACCCCATGTGTGCAGAATAGAACTAAACTCTGTAGGGTTTTCAAGCCTGTGACCTTTCAGAAGCAGATTACCAGGTCTGTCTTCTAAGGTGCCTCTGGGTAGGTTGGAACCACCAACCTTTTCGCTAGTAGTCGAGGGCTTAACTGTTTATGCCACCCAGGGATTCCTATGAATGACTGATAAACTCAGCAAACTACAATACTCTTTATAAAGAGCAGCTTTATGATATCTACTAGAAACCTTTTTCCAACAAGATACTTCAGAAGCAAATCTCAATATTCTTCAGGGAAGATATTAACACTGATTCCTGGATCATCATCATCATGTTCAGGTTCTTCATCGTTTTCGTCAGTAATACACTTGCCACATGTTTTCTCTGGGGTTCTTTTTTTCTTATGAGTATATGATGAATTATTTTTCTCTTTGATCTTGGGATGTGAGTTAGTAACAGTTTCTCTTTCCAAAGCATGTTGTAGGCAGTTGTAAAACCTGTAAAGAAAGAAGTACTACTGTTTTATCTGTGTGTTTTGAAATTGAATAACTGAAATACACCTAGAAAACAAATAAACAAACCAAAAAAACCAAACTCATTGCCATTGAGTGGATTTCGACTCATAGTGACCCTACAGGACAGAGCATAACTGCCCCATAGGGTTTCCAAGGAGCACCTGGTGGATTTGAACTGCCGACCTTTTGGTTAGCAGCCTTAGCTCTTAACCACTACACCACCAGGATTTCCGAAATACACCTAGCACTTATACATTATAAACTTAACATTGTCCCCTATTAGCCTTATAAATATACAGTAAATCAAGGAAATACTATGCTTCTTGCTATTATGATATTTCAATCAGGAAAAAATTGTTTCCAGTTCTTTAAAAACAGTTCTGAAAATTGAGTTGGAATCACCTATTGACAACCTCTATCCTCAATTTCCATTCCAGATGTAGGAGCCAAACAAGGAAGGAAGGTAAAAAAGAAGGAAATTACTTGTTTCTTCATAAAAAAATCATAAATGTAATAGAGACTCATTTTAGAGAATTTGGAAAATATATTTAGTTACAAATACAGATCACCTATACATAACTACCCAGAAAAAATCACTCCTGATATTTTTTCTTTCCAGTTTTTTCAATATATTCTGAACTGATATATATATATGCACATACATATACCTACTATTTTTTATATAATTGGGATATTACATACAGAATTTTACATTCTTTTTTTCCCCAAATATTTGCTGAGAACATTTTCAGTATCATCAAATGAATGACAAGATAACATTTTTAATGGCTGTGTTATCATACAAATTGGCCTTAATTTATTCAATTGTGTAGTACATGTTTAAAGTGATTGACTGCTAACCCAAAGTTCGGCGATTCGAAACCACCAGTGGCTCCGCAGGAGAAAGACGTGGCAGTCTGCTTCCGTAGGGATTTACAGCGTTGGAAACCCTATGGGGTAGCTATGAGTTGGAATAGACTCGACGGCAGTGGACTTGGTTTTTGGTTTGGAAGTACATGTGGACTAGTTTCAAATTTTTCCTAATACAAACAACAATGTAATAAACATTTTTAAAAACAATGTCCTCTGAGTTTCTATTTTTTTAGGCTAAGCACCTAGAAATGTAATTACAAGGTTAAGGTTTAAAGTTAAAAGTTTAAAACATTTAAAGTTTTTGACAAAGACTACCTGTCTTCCAGAAAGGATGTTCAAAAAAATATGCTTCTAATAGCAGTACTTGAGAGCTCACTTCACTCAGACATTGAATACTATCAAAAAATACACTTTGATAGGTTAAAATTGCATCTCATTATTTTAATTTGCATTTCTTATTTGCAAGGGAAATGGAATGTTTTTCATGTTTATTAGCTATATGAATTTTTAAAAATATAAATTGTTCTTTTCCTTTACCCATTTTTCTACTGGAGTTTTTTAGTGTTAACTTTGTAATACAATAAATTGTAAGCTCTTGGAAAATTTGGCTTCATTTCTTTTCTACTCCCATGTTAACACCTAACATAACACTCTGCTTGACACAGTAGTCTTCAGTATATGTTGGGAGGCAGCAAGTTAGTAGTTGAACATGCTTGGTACCAGAGTCCACTGGGAAAGCTAAGGTCTGCTCATTCCAGTTAACCTCACTGATTCTTGATTTCCTCATTTATAAAACTGTACCTAGCAGACCTGTGAGAGGTTTATAGATGGTATATGTAAAGTAGTTAACATGATGCCAGGCACAGAGTAAATTGTCAATAATGACTGTTTTCATAGAATATAAATTCCATAGGACCAAAGACCCTGTCTATCTTGTATTTAGTTATACCCCTAGCATGCTGAAAAGTGTTGGTACATAATAGGCACTTGGTAAGAATATACTGAAGAAATAAATGAATTACTGAATAAAATTATTCAGTATGTATCACCCTAGGTCTAAAAGATTAGAATGATCTGGAAGTTGAAGTCTCTTACTATTGTAGGGATCTCATCTTGCTTTTATAATCTACTGTAACAGAAGACTATGACAGGAATTTTTTTACATTTACAGAATAGATTGCTATTTTTTACCAATTTTCTTTCTTTAATTCAATGAATAAGTTAAGTTCAAAGCAAAGGCTCTAAAACCACCTTAAAAAAAAAAATCCAACTATTCACATATCCTCTACACAACTCTAATATGATTATTACATATCCTGTCCGTCCATATTTCAGGAGCTTACGTACTCACCACTGTATACCCTGATATCTAGCACTATGCCTGGCGCAATACATTTTCTTTAATGAATAACTCAATCTCAAAGAGGGAGATACAGTAAAAGGAAAAAAGGCTTTGAAAAACATCGACTGACACATAACTTTTTAGACTCTGTTGTATGGTAAATTCCTCTGTAGAGACCTTTTCATTGAATGCACCTTTCATATCTTTACTTAACTAAAACTGGTTCCCTACAAAGATGCCATTTCCCTGCATTTTTCTCAAGTGGAGACAGCTTATTGTTTCCATATCTCACCTATCACAGAATTGGGAGAGAGAGTCAGAATTCAATTGGCTCACCACTGCTTTGTCAGCCTAAACTCTTTTATCTGCCTCTCATGTCATCTACCACGTCCTCTGTTCACTCCTTTACATTCATGAAAATGTCTACACTTAGGTCTTTCTCTCCAGGTCTTGCCATGATCCAGGGCAATGACGAGCTTTCTTCTCATCTTCTACAGTGCCTCCAGAATGGCCTATTTTATCTAAAACAAATCCAGGAATGCCTCAAGATAGTGTGAATCTTCCTCATCTGATCAGAAGAGGCTATCCATGATATACGCAACCTCATCTACCATTTTCTTCCCTGCAGTTTAGGCTTAGGGAACCAGGTCTTTTTTTCTTGATTGTACTTTATTCCTAGAAAATGAAAGATAAAATTGCTCTTTTATGACCACAGAGAATTAATGTCTTGTGTAAAATGTCTTGTCAATCACATATAAAAGGGTAATTAACACAGGTGTTCTTCCACTAAAGAACTTAAGAATTCAAAGCTACATCATTGGGGTACGAAAAAGCAACTTGTAGAATAGAACAAAGATCTTTTCTTCCTGAAAATAAAGAATAAAAACTTCCAACACTAGTTTTTTTTCTCTTATTTTAAGGTAACTTAAAAAGTCCTTTGAGAAACTATCTAACTCAATATGTCAGAAATTTGTTTTGCAATTATATGTTCTCCCTTCCTATTATGACCCTTTACACAGAATTCTAAAGCCCAATTCTCAAAGTATAATTTTCTCAGCTCTCACAAGCAACAAAAAGAACTCTGAGTATGAAAAGAAATGTAAGCTCAGGCAACTTTTTGTTTATTTTTCCCCTTGAAAGAAAAGCGAATTGTCTTCAGTTTTTCTACCTTTGCAGTCAAGATTATCATGCCATAGGGCAACTTAAGTACTCAAGTTTTTTTCATGAGAGAATTTTTCAGGCCAGCCCTGAAAAAACGAATTCTTGTTTTTAAGGTCATTTAGAGGGCCACTTGCAATAAAAAGTTAGTATTTCTTTGATTTTTGAAGAAAGAACATAAAATTGAGGAAATCTAGGCTCAATTTCATACCTTTTTAAGGCTTCCATCATTCACAAATATCAAAGGTTATTCTCGTATATCATATATTTGGATTTTAACTGCTTAAGCTCTAGCACTTTTACTAACAAAACAAGGATGTGACAGGGCCTGTGCCGGGTGCTAGAAATAGAGGTAAGAGATGTTGTCCGTGTGCTCAAGGAGCTTATGGTTTTACAGGCGATGCAGAGCTGTAAAACCACATTCAGCATGCTGTGAAAAAGAGAAAGTGGGAGCATACTGAGAGGCACTTGACTGCAGGTGAGATCATGAAATGCTTCTTTGGAAAAAAAAGTGGGGCCTGGGCTAAATCTCAAGGATGAATGGAAGCTGGCTAGGTGACAGGAGAGAAATTAGAGGAGGAAAAAAAGAGGGGGGTATCCATGAAGCCACTACCAGAAAATAAAGTATAAATGTTTTGACTTTATACTATTTACTTCTTTGATCTTATATATATAGGTACATGTGTAAATCATTCATTTAGCTGCCTTAGCTCCATTTTAAAAAATGATAAGACTAACAACTATGAGGATTCTGTTATCCTTGACTCCTCCCTCTCCGTTACCCCCTTTTGCAGACCGTTGCCATGCCTGGTTGCTGTTCTGCAGTATCACTCCCATTCATCTTGTTACCCAGGGTCTTGTTACTCCTTACCTGGACTGCGTAGCAAAAGCCTACTCCTGCTCTCCCCATTTCTAAGCTATGTTATATGTGTTCCAGAATAATCATCCTAAGGCTCCGAAGCCTTAAAAGTAGCACTGTTTATGAAAAAAGTCAATTAATTTTAGCATATATTTATTAATCATCATTCCCACGCTGGACATTGCAAGAATACAATGATGAATAAGAAAATGTCTTTGCCATTGTGGAAGTCAATACAATGGTCTAACTTTCAAGTTCCTTTATTAAGTTCCTGATTAATTCAATAAACATTTATAGGGGTTCTACTGTAAGCCAGACAGCCAGATACTGTGTTAGGTTTCAGGATAAGAGATGTTTAAAGTGTGTGTGTAGAGGATGGTGGTTGGGTGTTGGTAAGGAAGATGCTGTCTTCAATGTGACCATATTGCAGTGGGAAAAAAGAGAAATATGAAATTATAATTCAACATGGCGGACATCTCTGGCTTGCACTGAGATATAAACTGAAATACCAGATATGGCTCTGGCACTGAGACTAGAATAAGAAACATATTAAGGAAGGGCTGGTGGGATACTTTAGGTGGGTATACTTGAATGGCTATTGGATATATGGGCCCAAGACTCAGGAGAGGTTTGGAAGACTTGCCAGTGTATGGCGAAGTAGCTGAAGCCATGGGGCAGGGACAGAATCCTGGAGTACAACAATATATACGGAACAAGTGGAAAAATAAGAGAAATCCACAAGGAAGCTAA